TTCCACCCAGCAATGCATGTTTTTACAAGTCACAGTGCAGATTGAAGATAAAAGCCTAACAATTGGGCCTGGAGAGATGGCTCAGTGTTTAAGAGAACCTAACTGCTCCTCCAAAGGTCCTGAGTTCAATTCCCAGTAACCATATAGTGGCTCACAGCCATCTGTGATGGAATCAGATTCCTTGTGGTGTGCATGAAGACAGAGCACTCATAAACATAAAATATGTGAATAAGTAAATCTTTTGTAAAAGGCCTAACAAATCTGTGAATTGGAACAGGTGCCACCCAAAAGATGGCACAGTGATGTCTACAACAACCATATTTAACTATTTCATGCATTAGAGATTAGAGTCATTGTCTAGGGTGGTGTGGGAAATGAAGGTAAGAGAGAAAAGGTTTGGTCCAATAGAAAGATGCTGGTTATTAAGTATGGATTTCTTTCGTTTATTTTTTTTAATCGACACAGGATTTTGTGTAGCCGAGGCTGGCCTTGAACTCACTATATATGTATATGTGTATGCGTGTTGCTTCTAGGAAACCAGACTTAGTTTTTGAGACAATCTTTCTCACTGGGACCTGAGGCTCACTGATCAAGCTGAAGTGTTTGGCCAGAGATCCTCCTGTTTCTTTCTTCCCAACTCTGGGATTACAGGCATGTGCCACCATGCCCATGTTTTTACATGGTGCTAGGATTTGAACTCAAGTCCTCATGCACAGGAGGCACTTTACCTTCCCAGCTTTTTTTGTCACTGTCCCTCACTCTTTCTTCCTTCTTCCCTCCAGCAGGTGTTAATGGGGTAACAGAGTGACAGGATACTGTGTTGGGTCCTATGGGGAAAACCAAATTGATTTCCAAGCCATTGGCAGCTTAGGTGGGAATGCACATAAAATCTACCAAATTTCAATCACTTTCCTCTGTCCCATAGCAGAGACTCCAAGGCGCACACCCACCAGAGTGTAGTCCACAAGGACCATTTGGATATGAGGACACTCTTATCCAGCAGAACTGTGTAAAATCCCTAAGTTATGTGACAGAGGCTGGGGGTGTCTCTCTGCTCTGTTCTGAAAATACGTATGCCCAGGCTCTCCAGAGAAAATGACTCAGGGGACCTGAGAGAAGAGTAATAAGAAAAAGAGGGAACAGGAGTCAAGCACGGTACAATCTTTGGCAAACACCAGCCCTGTGCCTTAACCAGCATGGGCCTTGGTTATTTGGCTCCAGCTATGGTTTCCAAACATAATCATGGTGTCATCCCCTGGTTTCCAAGAGAAGGCAAGAGCCTAAGCTGCCATGCGGTGTTGTCTTGTTAAGCTCTTCCAGCTACTTCTAAGTACTAGGGAGAACGTGCTTCGTGCCGTTTATAAACTGGGTTTGACAGTTTTACCAGCAGCCCCAGTCTCTGAATGCCACCCTCCAGAGACAGCGAAGTGACATTTGGGGACCAAGATTTTTATGTCATCTTTCTTTTAAAGTTGTTATCTCCTGACACCCTAGAAGAAGAAGGAAGTGATAGGGGTTCAGTGTAAATTTCTGTCACCCACAGACAGGTGACAGATTTGAAGTCTATTGCTGCAGAGGTCACAATCCACCCTGCAGGGCGTAAGGAATGAGACATCAAAACCTCCACCCTGCAGTGCCTGTGGCAGTTTGGGAACAAGGAGATGGACACTTATGATGCCTGTGTATGTAGGAACAAGAGGACCAATAATTCTCTGTTCATGTAAAGTCCCGAGTGCCCATTGGTTTGTGTGGGCACTCTCTTACCAGTTTAGAAACTTTATATAAAGCACTTTCAGGCTGGGGGGTATGGTTCTGCGGGTAGAGTGCCTGCTGTAAGGGCATGAGGACCTGAGTTTGAATCCCCAGCACCCACATCAAAAGTTGTACATCATGGCACACAGCTGTGACTCCAGTGTCTGGGAGAGGAGAATGGAGGAGCTGGGGCTTATTGTCCAGCCAGACTAGCTAAACAGCCATCTGTAGCCTCAGTGAGAGATGCTGTCTGGAAAAATTAAGGTAGAGAAGTGACTGAGGGAAGACATCCCAACATCAATCTATGTTCCCCACCTGCACCTGTTCAGGTGAGTATACCCTCACATACACGCCTGCACATCCCCTCACATACATGTCTGCACATGCATACATATGCCACACACTGTTAAAACTTGTCTCAGACATACAAAAGTACAGGAAACCATAGAACAATGGTGTACCCCCAACCTTGCTTGCTGATCAACTTTTGCCGTGGAATATTACTGTAACTGGGCAAAGATGTGTTAAATTTGTTTATACTGTGGAATATTGCCTTAACCATGTGAAGGCGTGTTACATTTGTTTATGTTGCATTTGTTTATCAATGTAAGGATGTGTGCTTAATTATGTAAAGACGTGTTGCCTTTGTCTCACCTTGCCTGCCTAAGGCACCTGATTGGTCCAAAAAAGAGCTGAATGGTCAATAGCTAGGTAGGAAAAAGGATAGGCGGGGTTGGTGGGCAGCGAGAATAAATAGGAAGAGGAAACTAGAGAACGAAAGAGAACGAGGAAGACACGCTCAGGGCAAGAAGCCTGGCAGCAGCCAGCAGACATGAGAAGCAGTGAATGTAAGACATACAGAAGGAGAGAAAAGTAAGCCCCAAGGCAAAATGTGGACAAAGAGAAACGGGTTACTTTAGGTTAAAAGAGCTAGCCAGAAACGAGCCTAAGCTAGGCTGACCATTCGTAACGAATAATAAGCCTCTGTGTCATGGTTTTGGAGCAGGTTAATGCCCCCCAAAAAGCCTGCTACAAACTTTTTCCCCCAGATGTTAAATAGCTTCAGCTTTGGGGACCCACCCACAGCCTCTCTTAGAGGACTCTGCCTAGAGGTTGTAGCGTGATAGTAACCATGGATATGACAGTGAGTTGAAGCCTGTTGGAATTTTACTCAGGGACACTGACAGTTCAGTTTTATGTTGTATTCACTTGTCGGGGAATGGTGTCCTTCTTTGGATTTTTTCCAACCCTTTGAAAGTATGACAACCTGGTCTGCGGACATTACTCAGTGGTAGAGCACTTGCCGTACATTGCAAGGCCCTGGATCCAATCTCTAGCACTGCAAAGAAGGAAATGTGAAAAATTGAAAGCTATTCTTAGCTCACAGGTTGCAGTAGGAGACAGACTGGAGTTGGCCTGGGGCAGGGGGCATTGCTCCAGCCGAACCCTTGACCTGGCTGAACTTCCAGGGTTCACTTCCCAGATTACAACCTCCCTCCTTCCCAGCTTGCCTCAAGAGACCACATATTGTCAGTGCCATCCACAATGCTGGCTTGTGTTTGTCTGTCTGTTTTGTTGTGTTTTAGGTATTTAAAAAATTATGTGCATTTGTATGTACTGGTGTTGAAAGAAGCCAGAGAGAGTCAGATCCCTAGAACTGACAGTTGGCCCGGAGCCTCCTGATGTGGGTGATAAGCACCAAGCCCGGGCCTTCAACAAGAGCAGTACACTCCCAACCCCGAGCCTCTCTCTGGCCCACACTGTTCTCCTTGACCTCGTGTACCTTAAGAGTACACTCCTGACTTGTGTGTTTGGGGCTTCACAGACTCTTTGTCCCCCCATGACACCCTCTGCCTCTTTGCTGGACTCTGGCCATCTAATGCCATGCTGCACGGGCTCCCACCCAGTCCTCGTTACGGCTGCCTGAGAGACATTATCTGAGCATGCTGTCAAAGCCCAGTCCTGTGGGGCATGTGGACACTTGGGCGGCTGCCTCAAGCTCGTCCCTTCTGTACCTTGCCTCCTAACCTGCACCGTGGTCATGTCACGGAGGCATTTTGATGGTCTCCATCTCCTAGACTCAAGTCAACAAGTATCAGAACTAGGGAGAGTTGAATCCATGATGTTTCTGTGTTGGACCTGGTCTGGCCATGGTGTGTCCCATCAGCATCGTAGGAACTGGCCATGCCCTGATGGCCTCAGCTTAAGAAATGCTCAGTAAGTGTTGCCTCTTACTGATTGGCAGTGATAATCAGTAATGAGAATTGTGAGTTAAGTCTAGGCCATTGAGCACAGCTACCCCACATGCTGTGAACATTAGCTGGCAGCCCTGTTCCCCAGCCATAGCATGTAGGCACTTAGGAGCAACTACAGTTACAGCGCCGTGTGGGATGTTCCAATGAAAACTGAAGCCCGGTGACACCTTATGCTCCCCCAGGCACACACTCCCACTCCAAACCCTGTGATATGTCAAAATCTGGAGCAGTCCCACCCTCAGGGCTTGCTTTCTTGGAAGGCTCAGGTGTTCTGGGCTGTGGGACATAGCACCTAAAGACACTCAGGTCCCAGGGATGGAACCCAAGGCCTTACATGTGTAAGGCAAGCACCTGCTCTCTAGACCTCTCTTTACTTTGCATTTTGCAGCACGGTCTCACAAAGTTGCCCAGGGTGCCCTGGGACTTGCTCTGTAGCCCAGGCTGGCATTGAACTTAGGATTCTTCTACCTCAGCATCGCAAGTAGCCGGGATTACAGAAGTGTGGCACCAGGCCCCATCCTAGAAGCACTTGTGAAATACTGTGACTGTCTGCTATGTCATTTTCCACCTGTGTGAACAACACACTGGCCACTTTGCTACCTTAACCACAGCCAACCACAGTGCCCTCCCCCGGCTCCTCTAGTCTCTGGAAGCCGAAATGCCAATCCTTCCCCTCGACCTGTCACCCCTTCCTCTCCTGGGATGTCTCCCCAGTTCAAAGACAATTCAGAAGAGAGACCAAAACACAATACTTCCGATGGGAAATTCGGAGCGCAGGAGGGGTGTTTAGATGGAGAGGGCATGTTCTCTAGGGGCAAGGACTTCATTTCCATTTTGACTAAAAGTTTGTGAATTTGTATAATATGGAATCTATTAGAAGGTTGGGAATAGGTAATCAGCTTTTAATATTTACATTCTTAGGGCGAGAAAGATGATTCATTAGCAAGCATGAATAATAATGAATAAATTACATTTCCCTTTGTCTCCACTCAGGTACAAGGCAATGTTAGAAGTGGTGATTTCACCCAGCCTTGCAGCAAGCAGTGACTGCAAGGAATCCCTGACGTGGAGTGAAGACAGCCCTGCCGTGGGGGCTCTGAGTGACAGAGAAGGTAGGCCTCTGCAAAAACTTGACTGGGTGAGTTAAGAGGGGCTTGTTCATTTGTGACAGGCGGAGGTTCCCAGGGTACCATTCCCAGAACCTGACACTCCCATTGATGGTTCTAGAACAGAAGTTGAGTGCACATGGATCACAGTCTTGTCCATCATTCAAGGGACAGGTGTACGTAGTCTTGCCCTAAGCTGCCCTTCTTGGTCTCTGGTTCCAAGAAATCCTGACATTTGCTATGAAGGATAGTCGCCTTGGGTGCATTCCCAGTCCTACATAAGGCATGACCTGTTGGGTCTCCACCGCTGTCCCTCAGCTCCGTCCTGCCAGCACCTCCTCCAGCAGGAGTCGGGTTCACAGGCTTCTGTGCTCAAGACGAGACCTTGTCTGCCTGTTGCTTTCAGGTTGGGTTGAAGTCAAGGAAGCAGAAGACAGTTAAAGCTGTTTAGAAAATTTTTGGCAAATGATGCTGCCAGACTAGTTTTCTCTAGAACAATCCAAGCTATTGTTTGCTCTGCTGGGATTGTCAGCCTTCCTGGTAGAGCCTAAGGTGAGCAGAAGGCGTTAAGCTATCATACCGAAGCGTCAGACTTAACCCTTTCCCCGGCAGTGTGCCCAGGGGTCCGCTGCCAGTGGTGTCCTCAGGCCTCCAATTGTTCTCTTTCATGGATCCTGTGTGATGCCACATCATGGGACAGGAATGGACAAGACTGTCACAAGTAACCAGAAGGTCCTGTGTCCAATGCAAAGCGACATCACAAGGAACTTTTTGGGAGCAAATCCAGGCTCCCTGAGTAATTCTTCTGTCATCAAGGCAATGAATGGCATTGCCCTTGCATGCTGGTTCTGACATTAGACAACCCTTTTCAAAATCTTCACTGCAAGGGTGTGGGCTCTGAGACCAGGACTGGATGGGGGGAGGGAGGCACACCTGGCCTCCCTACAAGCATCTGTGAAAACGACCCTCTGATGGGTCAAAGACCTTCATAGTTTTCTCTCTGGGTAGATGCCCAGGCCAATTTCCTACTGTGTCTCCAAGTCAGCATGGCAAGGGTCTGGGCTGTGGGTGTGGGGTATCCAGATCTGACTCCCAGCCCAGCCACTCCCCAGCCAAGCAATCTTTCTAAGTCTTAGTTTCCACCCCTGTTGAATGGGCTGTGATAATGACCCACTCTGTAGAGTGTATACAGGGGGTTAAGTGAGGTTATGGTGTGTGGCAGGCCTGGCCCACTCCGGGGGCATGGTAAATGATTTAGTAGACCATTGTCACCCTCGGAGTCAAAAAACCACAAGGATCAGAGGCAGGGTGAGCCCTTTGTTTAACCTTAATAGTAAGTGGTACAAAGTCTATGACTTTGTGAAACATGGGGAAAGGGCACATCAAAATATGCCCTCCTCTGAGATGCTGAATCCTTCAGCTACAAGAGGAACCTGGCAGGAGCAGAGAGGCAGTTGTCCCCTAGATAAGTCCCTGTCCCTCCCCTTCATCCTTGGTGTTCCTGAGAACTGACTCCGTGGCAGGCCCTTCCTCATCTCTGGTTCCGAGAAATGCTGACGTTACCACAGAACAGGGTCATTTTGGGGTGCATTCCCAACCCAGTCCTGTGAATCTGACTTCCTCCTCCCCTTCTTCCCTTTTACTACCACAGCAAACATTTGGTGGTCATTTTGAACTGTGGGCTAAGGGTGTGGCTCAGTGGTAGAGCACCTACCTCAAAGTAAAGGGCTGGGAACATAGCTTGGCAGTATAGCATTTGCCTAGATTCCACCAGTGACAACTCTTCATTCCTATACATGCATTTAAATCCCCTTCCTATTTAGTATACAGCTCAGTGCCTGGCCTATAGAAGACCTTAAAAAATACAGATGGGTGGATACATGGATGGATGACTAGGTGGGTGGCTGGATGATTAGGGGAGCAGGTGGGCGGTTGAATATATGGGTGGATAGAGAGATAGGTGGGCGGTGGGTAGACGAGTGGATGTGTGAGTGCTTGGGTGGTTGGGTAGATGCATGGGTGGGTGGTTGGGTAGATGTATGGGTGGGTGGTTGGGTAGATGTATGGGTGGGTGGTTGGGTAGATGTATGGGTGGGTGGTTGGGTAGATGTATGGGTGGGTGGTTGGGTAGATGTATGGGTGGGTGGTTGGGTAGGTCGGTAGGTGGTTGTGTGTTTTGATACACAGATGCAGACAGTGATCTTGAGGGATGAGCTAATTTCAAGTCAATATTAGCTTTGAACCACAAGTAAAATTTTCTAAACTTCCCCTGCCCAACTTTGTTGCCTCCCTAAGGTTCAGGCCATGGCAACCTCCTCTTGGATTCTGTTCTAGTTTCATCTCTGTTGCTCTGATAAAACACTCTGATGAAAGCGACTGAGGGGAGGAAAGAGCTCAATTGGCTTATACTTCTGGGTCACAGCCCACCATTGAGGGAAGTCAGGATAATATCTCAGAGCAGAAACCACAGAAGAATGCTGCTCTCTGGCTTGATCCTAGACTCACGCTCAGTTAGATTTACTATATTGTATTCACTTATCACATGAAAATTACATGATGATTCATATGTCTTGGGTTTCTCATTACCTATTCTTTAAACTTATAAACCAACCAAACTCACCATCAACATCATCATCCCTTTGAGCTGTCTTGTGTGTTATAGTCCTCGTGTGTATCAAAACTCATTCTGAACTCTGAGCTCCGGTTGTAAAAGAAGATAGGCCCTTGCAGGTATCATTTCTGTTTTTGTACGCTAGTTGAACAAACCACACACACATGCCATCAGCTAGCTTTCTAATTATACATCCGAGGACCACCTGCCTAGGGATGGTGACACCCACAGTGGGTTGGGCCCTCCTGCATCAATGAATAATCAAGACGATCTCCCATAGATGCTCCCATGGGCCCATCTAGGCAATTCCTTGGTGTCAGTTGAGGTTTTTCCTCTCGGTTGACTCTAGGCTATGTCAAATGGAAAATTAAAGCTCACTAGGACACTTTTGACCCTTGTCAATTTGACCCACAAGCATATCACTTTTTCCCCCATACAGGGTTTCTCTGTATTGCTTTAGAGCCTGTCCTGGAACTTACTCTGTAGACCAGGCTGGCCTCGAACTCATAGAGGTCTGCCTGCCTCTTCCTCCTGAGTGCTGGTATTAAAGGTGTGCACCAGCCCAGCCAAACATATCACTTTCAAACCTTTCAATACCTTGTCCCCAAGACCTTATATTAATGTTATATTTGTAAAAAGGTCATACAGCTGTAAAAGCCCCAGTCTTTAAACTTTTTGCCACTTTAAAAGTCCAAGGTCTCTTTTAAGATCCAAAGTCTCTCACAAATTGCATACTTTCTTATTCCAAAAGGGAAGAGCTGTGGCGGGCGAATAATCAGATCAAAGCAGAACTAAATCCAGCAATGTGAATGCAAATTCTGTAGCTCTGTGTCTGACCTTTGGAGCTCATTCGTGATCTTCTAGACTCCAAAGAGCTTGGGCAGCCCCACTCTGGGGCCCTGCCGTTTGCAGCACGCTGCCTCCCAGTCTGGGGTCAGCTCCACACCAAGCTTGTCTGTATCTGGTAGACAACGCGCACTCCCAGCATCTCCACTATGCAGGCTCCAGTGCGGCTGAGGCTGCACGCTTGCCAATGGCCTCTCTTCAGAAACTCCAGTCCTACCACACAGGGCCAGACCTCAGCTGCACACCGTGACTCCTTTAATCATGTGGCATTTGCGCCTTTGAAGCCAGTGCCACATGGAGACTCTTAAGCATTTTCCAGTTCAGGGGCCACTGGAACATTAGCTTCTAGGTGCAGCCATGAGGAAATACTTTCCATTGTCCCAGTGAAGTACAGAGAGAACTTTATTTCCCTCAGTAAGCTGGTGTCTCGTTAATCGTGGATGATTCTCCAACCTCAACTGACCAGCAACCACGGGTTGTTAATTCAAAATATCACACAAACAGCACAGATAAAGACCTTATTTCCCTCTGGAACCTCACGATCCAGGTCTCCACAGTCCACACTTATCACTGCACTCTTAGCATCCAAACTCCCACAGAATATTCCATTAATCTCTGAACACTCAACCATTTTTCCCAGCTTAAATCCCAAAGTCCTCCAACGGTCTTCCAGCAGAATGCTCCAAAGGCATAAAACCCCACACGCTCGGGGACATCACAGTTTTCTGTCTCCACTACTTTTCTGTTGCTGTGATAAAAACCCTCTAACCCAAAGCAACTTGGCGATGGGGGGGGCGGGGGGGGGTAGGCAGAGCATTTGTTTGGCTTATACTTCCTGGTGATAGTCCATCATAGAGGGAGGGCAGGGCAGGAACTTGAAGCAGAAGGCATGGCGAAACATTGCTTGGTGACTCACTCTCTGGCTTGCTCCTAGGCTCATGCTTGGCTGACCTTGTTAATACGGCCAGGGATCATTTGCTTAGGGATGGTGTCACTCACGGCGGGCTGTTTCCTCCTACACCGATTAATAATGAAGATGGCCCCCGCACACAAATCCACAAACCAGTCCAATCTAAGCAATTCCTGAATCAAGGCTTTCATCTCAGATGACTGTAGCTTGTGATAAGATGCCGACAGATTCTCTCAGGGATAAAAATGGGTAACATTTAGGCGAACACAGTGCTCCGGGTTTGCAGGAGCCACTGGGCAAACCCACCCTGCCCTTCCTTCATTCCTACTCAATCGATGGTTGGATCTGGGCTATATCCTGCTTTCTGGGAGGAGGAGGTAAAAGTTACGGATACCGAGAAGCCAAGGGAAAGATTCCTGTTTTAAAGCACAGGTGCTTCCTGAAAAGTTTCAACCATAACCCGGTTTCAGGGGAGGTGAGCCCTCCCGGGAGCAGGTGCCCGGCTCTCTGACTTCCTGCCCACTCCCGCCTCGGACTGAGTTTTCCAGTGTTACTCTGGCCAGCTCCAACCTGAAGCTAGCAGCTGGGTGCTGACCCAAGGAACACAATCTACTTTCTGTTCCTTCTCTGGGCATCCTGGAAGCTTCCCAGAGGCCACTGTGAGTACTAAGGATGCTCCAGAACCCACTCTAGGAACGAGGACACCAACTGTTGGGGACTCCACCATGGCTCACACACTCCCTCTGCAGCCCATGTCTGCCCTGTGTTCTGGCTGCTCCTTGCTATGCCTACTGATACTAATCTTCCTTTAGAAAAAAAGAGCAAAAACCTGGAAATAAATTCCCTTTAAGAGAACAACTCAAGCCGGGCGTTGGTGGCGCACGCCTTTAATCCCAGCACTTGGGAGGCAGAGGCAGGCAGATCTCTGTGAGTTCGAGGCCAGCCTGGTCTACCGAGCTAGTTCCAGGACAGCCTCCAAAACAATACAGAGAAACCCTGTCTCGAAAAACCAAAAAAAAAAAAAAAAAAAAAAAAAGAGAACAACTCAAACCAGATTTTTTTAAAAATTGACTTTTATAGCTTCATTATGCTCTTAACATGCATTAAAATCCACTTGTGATGGTTTCCACAGGGACACATGTATTTATGACCCCCTAAATCACACTCTGAGACATGTTCCCCATCTGCCTCTGCTCTCAGAACACCACTGCCAGGGCCAAAAGAGGTGTTCGTCTGTCAAAGTGCCCCGTGCGAGAAAAGGCTGAGGCACGTCTGTCAAAGTGCCCCGTGCAAGAAAAGGCTGAGGCACGTCTGTCAAAGTGCCCCGTGCAAGAAAAGGCTGAGGCACGTCTGTCAAAGTGCCCCGTGCGAGAAAAGGCTGAGGCACGTCTGTCAAAGTGCCCCGTGCAAGAAAAGGCTGAGGCACGTCTGTCAAAGTGCCCCGTGCGAGAAAAGGCTGAGGCACACTTCTGAGCTTGTAGCCGTGCTCTTCTGGGTTGGGCGCGATGTCAGTCACACACTTGGGGAAGATGAGAGGATGCATTTGGATGACACATACACACTTGCCTCGAGACATTTTGCTGTCATCGGAAGCCATCTCATGTCACTGAAGATGAGTTCAGAGTCAGCCCAGGGGCTCAGTAAGGCTGTGTACCAGTGGTAACTGCTTCCAGAGCCATTAGCTTGGTAGCATCCCTAGGAGGATGATAAAGGTGTGCCGATGTCAACTGAGCTCTCAGAAGAGAGTGGCTGCCATGGGGCAGGGGCAGGGAAGTAGGAAGATAAGAGTAGCTAGGGCTGGTCCCTGGTAACCTGGACTTCCTCCGCGGGTACAAACTGTAGCCACGCTTCAGAGGAGAAAAGTGAGCCTCAGAAAGGATGACGGGCACAGTGCCACTCTGTCAGGGTGCACCTGGGCACTTAAGCCACACCCGCTTCCTCTGCAAAGAGCATTAAGTCGTGAGACCCAGCTTGTAGATTTGGCTCACAATGGGTAAGCTAAATACTTACCAGTGAGCAAGTAGCTGGGTGTATCCTTCACACAAGCACACACTTGAAAACAGTGTGTGCATATACACAATCACACAGCTGTATGCTCTCACACACAGACTCCTCCTCTAGTTCTACATGTTAAAACTGGGCCTTGGGCTGGAGAGATGCTCATTGGTTAAGAGTACACACCGCCACTGCAGAGGACCAGAGTCCAGTTCCCAACACCCAAATCAAGCCACATGCTCACTACTGCCTGTTACTCCAGTTCCTGGGGGATTTGATCCCCTCTTCTGACCTCTACATCCCCCGCACTCACAGACCAATAAATGCGCTCGCACGCGCACACACATACAAAGAGAAATACATTTTTAAAGGAAAGAAGACGGAGGTGGTGGAACGCCCCCTGCCCCCCGGTTGGGAAGGGCACCCAAAGCTTCACCGAGTCCACACCATGTCCTCTGAGAGTGTCACAGCATTGCCTGCTTCTCCGGCAGGGTTAGTGTCACTGTGGGGTTAATCTCACCCACAGCGACCCTTTCTATCAAGCCACTTCCTATACATTGACTGCAGCAACAAGTGCAGAGTGACCATTGATCCAAATTCCTTCCCAAGACTAGCAGTCACAGAGCAGGACGAGCACAGTTTGGGGGGGGGGCCTGGGGGCTCTACCCTGTCCCTGGCTGCCTTCCTGCTATATCCAGACTCTCTGGCCTATATGGAGTCCCACCTAAGTCCCACCACCCCTAGACACAGGCCGGCTATGGAGGAAGTCTGTGCCATCCTATCCAGGAGGAACACAGGGAGAAACAGGGGAAGGGGAGTGTGTCCCATGATGGCAAAATCTAAATGTGGCAAAGGAGACAAGAAGTTAAAAACTGTTCTTCAAAAGAGTGGTCTGCAAGAGAAGAAGCACTCGGCACTCCCAACCCACCCCCCCCACTCCCCCATCCTCCCTACCCCCCCCCATCTACTCCCCTGGCTGGACGGTGACTGCAGATGTGAGGAGCCCAGAGGAGGGAGGCCTGGCCATGCAGGAAGGGGAAAGGCAGGTGTCTGAAGGATTCGGGAAGGGGGTGGAGATGAGGAAGCCAGAATCCTGAGCAAAGCCACCATGCCAATCACTCCTTGGCAACCAGAAGGAAAGACGCTCACTTCGAATGCCTGGAACAGCAAGCTAACTAGAGCCCGTAGGGATATTGTTTCTGTGGGTTCCGTTTTCATAAGTACTTGCATGTTTATTAATGAAAACATTAAAAGTGTTTAACTCAATGGTTCCTGAATTTGCTCTGCACACTTGAGCTTTTACCAACAGTGAGACTGGCCATGTTGGGCCTACCTAGAGCAAAGACCTCAGGACCAAGGGAGATGTCAGGAGGCACCAAGTAGGCGCCAGAACTTTCCTTGATGTCGAGTCAATGCTGCTGTTTGGTTTTTAAGTGTGGTGTGTAAAGAGTATATTTTATGCTATCATACCATGCATGTGCATGAACATATACACACACATGCATGCACGCACACATGCAGAGTCAAACTGAACCCTGGTCCTTCTTACCATGATCAATAATGCTGACACTGTGTGCGTGGTCATGCAGACAGCTCTGTGTGTCTAAGCTCAGCTGTGACTGCAGTTCAAGGAGATATAGCAGAGTTTATCTGGGGACTTGACCAGAGAGATCAGGCTCACGTGACCCTTGGGCTCAGGTTCAGACACACTCAGTTTTTGGATCTTCTGACAGAGGGTGGGAGAAGGGTGACCTTGTCTGCTTCAGGGTCCTATTACCTCATGGTAAGGATTAAATGAGATGCTATGTCTAAGTCATTACCACTGGGCCTGGCTCACAGTTGCTCCTGAGGGAGTGCTTGCTGCAAATATGCTGGTGGCTGTCTCTTGGCTTGTAGTGTCATGGTTGAGACAGACTACAGGGCTGGGCCACCAGGGTTCAGTTCATAGGCCTTGAGTGAGTTATTCAGACCCTCCAGGCCCGGCTCTTCATCTGGGCATTAAAATCATTAATGCAGAGAAAGTGATTTGAGGGAAGCTTGGCACATGGGGAATTCTGGGTAAAAGATGGATATTACCAGCATATGAGATGCAGGAAGCTTGGCACATGGGGAATGCTGGGTAAAAGATGGATATTACCAGCATATGAGATGTGAGGGGGGGGAGAAGTTTCTGAGGCTGAAGGTAGAGGAGGCTGCCAAGTCTCAGAGTGAGGTGAGGGAGTTAGAGAGAGGCTTAGAGTCAGGGGACTTGCAGGGTAACTTGGTGAATGGGTGCATCCTGTCCCCATCCGTTATTCATTCAGTCTGCTTGAGGCCATGGGGTGGTTTTATTTGAAATGATGAGGGACAAAAACACTCCCCAGGGAACCAACCAGATCAATGACACCCTAGGAAACAGCTCTCCAGCTAAGTCTGTCACCTTTCGCCGTCACCCACAGTTGTTCCCCCGTGGTAACTGACCAGCAAGTGTCCAGGGATGCAATATGAGACATTTGTGTCAGAACCTCAGAGGTGAGCTAAGAAGTGCTTTCCTTGGATGTGCTGGAGCTAGCCTGACCTGAACCCCACCAACTGCAGTTAGAGAGGGACAGGAAGGTGAAGGCATCAGGTGATGTCCAGGCTGAGGAGAAGGTTCGGTCTGTAAAGTGCTTGCCACAGAAGGGTAAGGACCTGAATTTAACCCCCAGAACCTATGTAACAATCCTGGGCATGGCAGTCTGCATGTGTAATCCCAGCTCTGGAGAGGTGGAAACAGGAGGGGCTCTTGGGACTTGCTGGGGAGCAGCCTACTGGAATGGGCATGTCCCTGGGCCAATGGGAGGTCCCGACTCAAAACCCAAGGTGAACTACTCCAGAGGAATGATGCCTGAGGTTGTCCTCTGGTCTCTGTAAGTGCCCACACCTGCAGCTGTGCAAGCAGAGGAAGAAGGGTGTGGGGAGGGGAGGAAGACGGAGAAGGAAGAAGGGGAGGGAGAGGGAAGAGGAGGAGGAGGAGGGGGAGGGGGAGGAGTCGTAAGATTAGGACCAGTCTCACCTTCACCCTGCAGCTCTTGCCTGCCTCCTTGATCATGTGGCCTCTCCGGCACATACCTTCTGTCTCTTTGGCCTGTTTCCCCTTCTGTGCTGCATGTGGGGCGTGGGTTCTGCATGATGTTCCTAGATGCTCTGTGTGTTTTCTGTGCCTGCTCTCCTGCCGTACCTGAAAACCAGGCGCACCAGAGAGGGGCTGTGAGCCCACTGTGAGGAGAGTGCCCTGCCTCCCAGAAACTTTTGTGGTTGAGGAAGTCCCCAGCAACAATTCTCTAAATTGCTCTCTACCCAAATCCCTCTGAAGTCAGTTTGTGCTGCCGGTGACCTCAGGAGCTAAACCTTCATGTGTTTCTTTGTCTCTCCAGGTGTCACCAAATCGCCCTCTCTGAGTGTGCCCCAGCTCTTTGCGAAGTGAGTACTCTGGCCACGCCCCCTTCATCCTTCACCTTTTTCTCTTCTTCAGAGGTTGGCGGCTGGAGGGGGGTGGGGGTGCTCGGGGGCTGGTTCCCCAAATAGGGATGCCAGCATGAACACAGCTAGACAGCCTTGCACAGATAATCTGACTGCCTGGATCTTGGTTTCCCATCTAGGAAAGGGGACATCGAGTGGCCTGTCCCACAAAGTGGATGAATGTGTAAATTTCTTAGAACCGGCTCTGAGTGTCACCGCTGTTTCCTTCTTTCTGGAGTTTACTCTTTTCCCATCCTTTCCTTTCCCTGTTTAGACTCCCTCTCCCTCCTTTCTCCTCCCCTGCCTCTGTCCCCCTCCTTTCCCTCTTCCTGCTGTCCCCCCATCTCCCTGCCTCCTCCTGCTCATTCCATCCTTTCCTTGTTCCTTTCTTCTGGCTCCGACATTCACCCAGGACTCCTCAGTCCTAAAGCCATATGAGCCCTAGGAAGAGAGAGGAGGGGACACAGCCCTGCCTCGGAAGGGCTCCCAGGCTAGTGAGGAGACAGAACCTGAGCTCCTCACCTGGTGGCATGAGTGCCCCACCATAAGATCAGCCAGGGTCCAGAAGCCGAGCGTCATTGGGTACCAGAACCTTCCCTAGGCAAGCTCCAGTCCTTGGAGCTGAGCACAGAGACCAGGTTAGACCTGGACAGATGTTGCCCTTGCAGGCTTCCATAAATCCCCCTCTCTGACTGCCACAGAGGAGCTCTGGTGAGGGCATTGGCTCCAGCTGTTTCTGTGTCAGAAGAGGTGTGGCACTGGCAGCCACTGAGCCCAGTAAAACCTCCTGGACTCTCCTCAGGTCGGAGAGTGCCACTGCCCTTTCTGGGGGGGGTAATTGTGTGTGTGTGTGTGTTCATGTGAGTGGGGGGGTGGGTGTCTGTTCATGTGAATGTGTGTTTGTTATGTGTGTGAGAGATGTATAGGGTATGTGTTGTGTGGAATACGTGTGGTGTGTATGATGTGGAAGGGCGGGATGTGTAGGGTGGTGTGGGGTGTGTATATGTGTGTGTTATGTGTGTGTATGTGTTATGTGTGTGTTGTGTGTGTGTGTGTGTTCAGTGAGTATGCATGTGTGGGTGCAGATGCATTCATGTGGAGGCCAGAGGCCCATACTGAGTGTTTCCCTCAGTCCATCCCCACCTTATTTTTTGATGGAGTCTCTCACTGAGCCTGGAGCACATAGACTCAGCTGGGTGGGCTGGCCAGTGAGCTCCTGCCTCTTCCTCCCCATGGTAGGACTGCAGATGTGTTTCATGATCCGCCTTCCCATGGTAGGATTGCAGATTTGTTTTGTGGAGCCTGGCTTTGTCCATGGACCTGGGGATCAGGACTCAGAGCCCCATCGTTTTACTCCTTGAACAATTGTCCCAGCCCCCATTTCTCTGGCTTTTCAACTTGAGCCTCAGTTCAATCCAAGTCTCTTCAGCAGACTGTGGTGGACACTGGAGTCTCTTCAGCGGGCTGTGGTGGGACACTGGAGTGGACAGGCTTGGCTTCCCACCTTGAACTTCTCTATGGAAAGGCAAGATGTGACCCAGGAACACGGTCAAATAGGGGTCCCTATTTAACAGGAAGTCCCGCCTTACAGACCTACTGACTGTACCACGGGCATCCACAGAGCTGGGCTACTGGCTGGTGGAGCACTTTCTAGATCCCAGCCTGGCGTCTCCAGATGTAAGTCCCCCAAAGGACTCCCTTATGGGAAGCAGAACCATCTGCAAAGCAAGGTCACATCTGTTTGTGACCCTGCACCCTTTTATAGTCAACTCACACCTGCCTGAGGCTTCAGACCTGGAGAACCAGAGAGTTTCATGTTCGTCTAAAGTAGACAGATTTTGGCTGAAGTGATACAAGAGTCCCAGCCATGTTCCTAGAGGCCCAAGCTGAGAGAGTAAGCACGTGGGGTCAGGTTCAGTCAGCCGTGGATCTAGAGAATTGGTTAGAGTGAAGGCGTTCTGTGTGTGGCCTCTGGGTCTATGCCAGTCCATGAGCTCTGTGGGTTAATGAGTTGTCTCCTCAAGATGAAAACTAAGAACCTCCAGTGTCTGGTGCACACCTTTAATCCCAGCACTCAGGAGGCAGAGGCAGGGGGATCTCTGTGAGTTTGAGGGCAGCCTGGTCTACAGAGAGAGTTCCAGGACAGACTCCAAAACAATATAGAGAAACCCTGTCTCGAAAAAAACAAAACAAAACCAAAAAAGAAAAAAAAAAAGGAACCTCCAGTGTCGTCAGAATTGGTGGCTTCTCTGGGCCGCTTTAAAGTGGCCTGGACTGGGACCTAGGCATGCAATGGGAAGGGAAATCCCAGTTGTTTATCACCTACTGAAATGGCATGGAGGGGCTGGTGCAGACAGAGGGTCATAGTCTGGTGATGGACATACAGAGTCCAGATGACAGTGGGGGCCCTGGCCTGGTCTCTTCCATCAGTAACTCCAGCGCTGGGGAGATGGAGTCAGGAAGATGTCGGGAGCTCATTGGGCAGCCAAGCTGCCAAACCAGTGAGCTCTGAGGTCAGGAGAGACACTGCCTCAAACACTAAGGTGGGGAATGACGATGGGAGATCCCAGATGTCAACCTGCAGCCTTCATGAGCATGCAGACATATGTGCACACCTACATACACGTGCATATGCAGAGATGGGTGGTCTAAGCTGACCACCGTAATGAATAACCCTGGAGGTCCTACAACAAAGGCTTTCTGTTTCCCACATGAAGTCTGAGGTGGATGGATCTTGTAGAACTCTCCAAAAAGTTCGACTGTGCTGGCTAAAAGTGGGGATCCAGCATCTCTGGGTTACAGCTTTTCTACCACAGATGACTTCTCCATTGCTACCCAAAAAGAGAGGAAAGGAGGACAGGTCTCAGACAGTGGCTTCCAACACACCCACCCATATCTTGTCAGGTGGAGCCCTGACCCATGGTGGAATCTGACCGCACTGAAGACAGGAAACACCCCTTCTTGGTTCCCAGGGGAAAGAAAGCATAATGATATGTCATGTACACAAATGTTTCCTTTGCTTGAGAGAGTGTAATGCCCAAGGAAAAAATAGTGTTGATCCCAGGATCCCGTGGAAGATGCTGGGCTAGACTGGGAGACTTAACCATCTCTCCTTCCACCAGGCCTCACCCGTGTGTCCCTCCTGGTCAGTGCTCTGCAGCCATGGCAACCTATGGCCAGACACAGTACAGCACAGGCATCCAGCAGGCACCACCCTATACAGCGTACCCACCTCCAGCACAAGCCTATGGGATCCCCCCTTACAGTGAGTATCAAGCAAGCCCTTGCACCCCCTGGCAGCCCCAACACTGTGGTCCCTTCATGCCTCAGTGCAGGATCATAAATGTAGCTGGACTCATTTTGACTTGGCGGTAAAGGGGAGACAGCATGGTTGAAGCATGGCTCACATTGCCTCCAGACGATGTCAGCAAGCCCCTTTCAATTGCAAGAATCATAACCCTAACCCATTCTGGTTTCTGGAAAATGAGAAGTTAGTGATTTATGTACTGTCATATCTGGGACTGCAGTTGTCGCCATGTATGCTGGAACCAGGTGCTCCAGTGACTTTGTGAGGGTCTGATGCGATGTCTCAGGCTTGATACACAAGCCTGACAATCTGAGTTTTATTCCTGGAAGCCACTTAAGGATAGATGGGGGAACCCCAACTCTATAAGCCATCTCTGACCTCCACGCGTGCACACATTCACACATCATCTACAGTGAGCTCATGGAGGCTTGATCCATCTTTGGATGCTTTCTTCTCAGTGGTCTTCATGCCCACAGAGAGGGTGGTGACACAGACAGTGCCTGCCAACTTTGGTCTTTGGATGTCAATGTTCCTGGCAGAGTTGGTCCTCATGGGCCAAACCGGGTCATGTGACAATGCCTCATACAATGGAAAGAGACCATGGGTCACAGGTTAAGTGCAGAGAGGGACAGGTCTCTTGAAGTCAGGTAGTATGGGAGAAGATGAAAAGGCTTTAGAGGCCTTGACTGTCAACACCTCAGAGTGGAGAAGTGTTGCGTCACTGGCTTCAGGTAGGGACCTGAGTGTTCAAATGATATCAGGAACCAACTGGTTCCCTGTGTGTGAGCTTCACTGACTACAGTTCCTCCACTACAGTGGCAGGTGTACCCTCAGAACTTCTAAGCTGCAAGTGCCCCAGAGAGCCTTTCCCGCCTGGGATACCTCCCTGAAGTGCCAGGCTTCCCTCTGACTAGGCTCCACCCTGTCCCTGACCCAGACTCCAGAGCAGAGGGGATGGAATGCTCTAGATGGCTACTGTGAGCCACATGTCCCTGCATCACTGGGATCAGGCCCATGCAGAGCAACTAATCCAATGTAAAGAAGGGGAGATGCCCAGAGAGGGGGCAGGTGGCGGCAGAGGCCCCATGCACGCAAATGTGTGTGAGAGCTGAATGTGGCAGTGCACACTGTAGTCCCAGCAGTCAGGGGTGGGGCTGGAGCTCAGCGGTACAGGGCTCCTCCAGCATACACAGCATCCTAGGTTCCACGCCGGCACTGAATATACCGAGTGTGGCACTTGGGAATGGAAGGCAGGAGGATCAGAGGTTCAAGGTCATTCTTGCTATGTAGTGATTTTAAGGCAAGCCTGGGATGCATGAGACCGAGTCTCAAAAATACACACGTGGGCGTGTGCACGCACCAAGCTTGTACGCCAGCTGACTTTAGCACTGAAGTGACTTCTGGTTTAAAAGCTGTTGAGAACACTGTCTTGACTTGGTGACTCTTCTGTGGATGACAGGGAAGGGTTCTAGCCATGTGTTCAGTGCTTCTGTCTCCTTCCAAGGTATCAAGACAGAAGACAGTTTGAACCATTCCCCCAGCCAGAGTGGCTTCCTGAGCTACGGACCAAGCTTCAGCACCGCGCCTGCTGGACAGAGCCCATATGCCTACCCAGTGCACAGTGAGTGTGGTACCCCGCCCACCCTGCCACTGTCTGGGGCGCCCCAGGGTGGGATGTCCATCCATTCATTCACCCACTCAGCAGACTTCCAAAGTGCCTACTGTGTGCCAGGCTCCATCTTAAGTGATGGACAGAATGTGAGTTCTGCCCCGGGGGCAATCCCATGGCCCAGGGCAGAGACAGGACACACAAGCCAGCAGCAGATCATCAGGTAGTCCTGCCATAAAAGCTGAGCAAAATGAAGCATCATGGTATTGACATAGAGTTGACAAGCAGCTGAGAGGCCAGGGGAGAGATGGGACCAGCTGTGACACCGGGCAAAGACAAGGGTGAGGTGACTCTAGCTAGACCCACACCTGAGAGAACGTCTCAAGCAGAGGGAGTGGACGAAACGTGTCGGTGTGTTCAAGGGACAGGACAGAATGGTGACACTGGTACAGACTGAGAGGGTCCCTGAGAGGGAGCCTCAGAGAGGGAGGAGGAGCCTGCGGTCCCCACAACCGTGTTGGCTTGCATTCTAAGTGGGATGTGTCAAGCAAGCCCATTGCCAAGACGCAGAGAAAGGCCATCCAGGGAGTAAGAGGCACGAAGAAAAATGGACTCTGGTTCCAGGTGCCCAGCACGTGACTCAAGGGATGGATCTGCTGGGCTCACTTCCCCCACTCTGACCCTTGGCCCCTTCTCTGCTTGATGTCCCAGGCAGCTCTTGGTCCTGAGGCACAGAGCAGGGAATGGAGGCAGTGACTCCGGGAACATTCATCCTGGTGCTCTTTCCCCTGTAAACCAAAGGGTCTGAAAAATAGCACCAGGAAAAGCAGGATGGTGACTGTCAGGCTGCTGGGAAGTGTGGCCTCTCTGTCGTCTGTTTTGCTTGTTTCATTAAGGGCTGTGCAAATGTCTTCAGGGTCTGTGGAGAAGGTGAGTGCAGTCACAGCCAGGCAGATGGTCCTGCTTTACCCCTTGTCCTACCTTGTCCCAGTGGGTGTAGCATATAGTCATCACCACTCTCTGAAGTATTGCAGTAGTATGTGTGCCCATTTCTCAGAAGAAGAAACTGAGGGGCTAAGTGAATGGCCAGTTTGACCAGTGTCAGGGCAAGAACTTCAGATATTTCTCAAATTCAGTGGGAAAAAAATTGTCTTCTTGGTGAGGTGGCATCCCATCCCTCAGCCTCTACCCCAAACCCTTGACCTTGACTGTGATATTCACCTTCTCCTATGCTCCTGTCATCCTGCCAGTGACCTTTCTGAGTCCCCCTGGAGGGTGGCAACTGCTGTATCCATCCCTGAAAGCCAATGAGGAGGGGGACCATTCTTGGTAACAAAGGTTCCCCAAGGGCGTGAACTTGAGCATGCATTTGGGCCAATCCTTAGCTGTGCAGATAGAAACCACACTTGCTGACTGGGGACACCGTCCACTCTCACCCCAGCTGCATGCTGTGTGACTCGCTGGAGGAGCCTGTCCATTCATCCACACGTCTATGTTCTGTTACTGAATCCGCTACTGAATGCTAGCCGTGTGCCTGGCAGGGGGTGAGGAGGAAACAATGGGAAAGGATGGCTCCCTCAGGAGAGAGCTGGGCAGCAACCCGCTCACAGGCAAACAGTGACGGGCTGTGGGCGAGAGTGTGAAGAAGCTCAGGGTGCCGTGATGGACATGACCAGAGGAACACGAATCCATATGCCTAGCCTCTGGATGGACATGGCTGTCCGGTGACAATTGTCCCTCCTAGGCAGAGAACCCAGAACACTGTAAGACAGTCAAGCAAGGTCATGTGACCCAGACAATGAAATGGAAACCCAGCATTCTCCAGCCCGGGTATGCAGCCCGGCTGTATCCCGCCCCTCTGAACTCATGGCTCCATTTAGAAAGTGACTTTCAGCAGGAGGGAGCGGACTCAGCCTTGGACCCCACCCCATGAGCCCTTCACACATCAAACACACTCCCTGCTCGTTTCCTGCCTACCTTGGGAATGGCCTGTGCTATTTTCTCGTAGCTCTCATGGCCGCTGTGTGTGGAGGCTGTGACCAGATGTCCTGCTAGCTCTGAGTCTGACACTGATGGTTGTCAGGAGAGCCAGGTTCCCCCTTTTCAAACACAAACACACTGCGCTCACATCCCAGGCCTATGCGCTGCCTGTCAACATTTCTGCCCTGAGTTGTTCCAGAGAAGGAATAAACTTGTAAATGATTTGTACGGAACTTAAGTCTGGAGAGAGAGAGAGAGAGAGAGAGAGAGAGAGAGAGAGAGAGAGAGAGAGAGAGAGAGAGAGAGAGAGAGAGAGAGAGAGAGAAGAGGAGGGGGAGACTAAAACTGCTGAGTGGTGGGCTGACTTGCTAGCAACATTCTGTGATGAGAAGCCAGGGTTCCTTTCAAAAATGTGCACAGGATGTAAACAGGACCATCCCAGCACTCTACAGATTGGTAAACTGAGGCATTGCAGTAGTGTGGCAAGTATTTGGTAAGACGAAGTCTCCCCTTCATCTCCGGCTTCTTACACACTGGTTTCTGCAGCTCTGGCTTACACCTCAGCAGTGAATGAAGTCTCCCCCACACCCTGGCCAGCATTTGCTGTGCTTTTCCTGTTGGCCACCGTTCTGACTGGGTTGAAACCAAATGCAGAATTTGTTCACATCAGATGTGTCTGCTCGTTTTAACTCGTTTATTTCTTGCTGAGACATAATCCACACACCGTAAGCTTTGCTCTTTGGGAACGTTTAGGTCAGTACATTTGCATAATGGTGCAACCTCTGCCAATGATCCCCCAGTATTCACAGCAGCCTAAAAGAGACACCCTACACCACTGGGGCTGTAGCTCAGGGTTAGAGCCCTTGACATCCCTCAGAGATCCCAGGTTCGGTTCTTGGTACTGGAGGAGTAAAAATGAAAGCTCCCCTCCTTTCAGTGACAAGGGAATGAAAGGTGCGTTAGAAGTCACCCCTCTTGACGTCGATTTTGAGAGCAGGTTAAAGTTCAAACATCTGTAAACATTTTCTTCCACCCTGTCCCTGCACCTGCTAGTGTCCAAACCTCAGACCACTTGTCCAGTGCCTGAGACACAGAACTTTCTATACAGACATAAGCACACCGGCACTCTGTTTGGATCCTGTTACCACAGCAACGGTCATCAGGAAAAGCGTGCTCCAGGTGACCACGTTTCTTCGCCCTGGAGTCTGTCTTCACTGCAGGCTTCTTTTGTCTTGGTGTGCCATCCCAAGGCTCCCTCCTGACTCTTGTGCCCTGAGTTCACCGAGCTTCCTTGGTCTATGGGTTCGGAGCCTTGTTTCTGCTAGTGCTTCTTCAAAGAACTCCTGGGCTGGTAAGACAGCTCTGTTGATACAGCGATCACCTTACGAGCTTGAGGACCTGAGTTCAACCCCCCAGGACCCACATTAAAGCACAGCAATGAGGATGCAGAGACATGTGGATCTCTGGGGCTCCCTGGCCAGCCAGTCTGCCTACCTGGTGCTCCAGGTCTCTTTCCAGGAGAGACCCTGACTCAAGGAGGTAGATGGTGTGACTGTGGAGTACTTGCCTAGGATGCAAGAAGCCCCGGGCTCCATCCTCAGCTCAACATAAACGAGGCGTGGTGGCTGTATATACCTATGAGCCTAGTGCTTGGGAGACCGAGGCAGGAGGATCAGACATTGAAAGTCAGCTTGAACTGCACAGTGAGTTCGAGGCCAGCGATTTTTGCACTCACAGAGGCCAACCTTCAAGGGCATTCTCTCTCTCTCTCTCTCTCCCTTTCTCTCTGTCTCTCTCTCTGTCTGTCTCTGTCTCTCTCTGTCTGTCTCTGTCTGTCTCTGTCTGTCTCTCTGTCTCTGTCTCTGTCTCTGTCTCTCTCTCTCTCTCTCTCTCTATATATATATATATATATATATATATACATATATATATATATATCCTCAAGGAAGCTCTGGAGGCTGCTTTTTCCTCTTCACCGGATTAGTTTCCTTACACGTGGACCTTTCCTAAATGTAGGCTCTGAGGAGAAGCAGGCTGCAGACCACACACACACACACACACACACACACACACACACACTCACACACTCACACACAAGCTCTCAGCCAGCTTTTTCACTCTGGCCTTCCACCCTAGGAATCCCAGCCACAGTATGTCCTGCTGTACAGTAGGTGCCCATCCTGAAGGGGGCGTTGCCCATCCTGAAGAAGGCGTTGCCCATCCTGAAGAGGGCATTGCCCATCCTGAAGAGGGCGTTGCCCATCCTGAAGAGGGCGTTTGCCATTTGTTTCATGTCCAGCTAGCGTCACTGCCCTGGTGGCCTGATGCCCAACGCCTGAAAAAAATGGCCATTTCGAATTCTGTCAGCCAGAAGGACAAATGCTCCCTGTCATCAGCCATGGCCAGGAGTGGAAGTCCCACGGGGAAGTGCCACTTGTGATTTTTTCCGTCGTGAATGCTGCCAGCCTTGCAGGTGTGGATGCTGTTACAGGCGCTGGGCTCTTCCTCACCTGGCCACACTCAGTGTTCTCAGGAACCTTACACTTACCAGTCCTCGGGCCTCTTGTCATTGTTGTCCTGATGCACACTTGGCACAGTCCCATCAACCAGATGTTTTCACGTGTGTGTGTGTGTGTGTGTGTGTGTGTGTGTACTTGTGTATGCGTGTGCACATGTGTTCACTAGGGGTCAACCCTGAGTGTCTTCCTTTGTTGCTCTCCACCTTATTTATTTTTTGGGACAGAGTCTCTCACTGAATGTATAACTTGACAATTTGCATAGTCTGCCTGGCCAGTGGGTCCTAGGCAGCCCCGTGCCTCCACCTCCAGTGATGCAACTACAGGCATACTCCCAGCTTTTTTGGGGGAGGAGGGTGCTGGGATCCAACTCAGGCCTTCATATTTGTACAGGAAGTTGTTTAACTGACTGGGTCCTGTCCCCAGTCCGGCAGCCACGTCTGAGTGCGGGCTGCCTTTGTTTGGCTCGGGGTTGGCAGCTGGCTTTAGTGCTGTCTTGGGAAGAAGACAGGTGGG